CCCCCCCCAACCACCCCTCATCTTCCATAGCACACCCCTCCCTCCCTCCCATCTCACCTTAGTATCATCTTGCCATCTCTCCCTCCCTCGCCATCTCGCCATCCCTCCCTCCATCCCCTTGCCGCACCTCATCATAGTGCCGCTCCATCTCTCCCTCCCTCCCGTCTCGCCATAGTCCCTCCCATCTCGCCATCTCGCCATAGCCCCTCCCTCCCTCCCTCAACATCTCGCCATCTCGCCATCCTCCCCTCCCTCCCTCGATCCATCTGTCCATCTTATATATATATTTTTTTCCTTGGTAAGCAGTCTCCCTTCAACCCTTCATCCCTTCATCCCTTCTTTTTCTTCTTTTTCTTCTTCTTCTTCTTCTTCTTCTTCTTCTTCTTCTTCTTCTTCTTCTTCTTCGTCTTCTTCTTCTCCGGCATCGTAAAGCAGTCCCCCTCCATCCGTCCATCCTAGCTTTATCAAGTGCTTATTGGAAGCGGAGGAGGTGGTTGCAGCAGCATGGCCAGCTCCAGCACGGCAGGGGGTGCGGTTGGCGGAGAAGGAAGCACGAGGCAGTCGGAAAGAGGAGGGGGTAGAGGGAAGGACATTGCGAGCTCGAGCGCACCTTCGTCTGGGCTGGTTGACAAAGTCCCCACGCCGGCTACAAACCCATCCTTGTTCGTCCCACAGGCGGAGGAAAAGCAAAAGAAGCTGCAGGGCGAGAAGGAGGTGTGGAAGCATGTAGAGCAAGGTCAGGAGGCTGTGCCAAAGGGGCGGGGAGAGTATTGGCTGCGGTGTCGACTGTGCTCGACCATTTGCAGGGGCACGAGCACAAGAGCCATTGAGCATTTCCTAAAACTGCAGAAGCCTTGCCCTTTCAGGACGGGCGAGATATTGCACAAGCTGGTGGCCCAAGGCGCGAAGGTGCTGTCGATGGACAAGAAGACGCAATACATTCTGCAAAATTATCGGCAGCTTCACAACATTTCGGCGGGGGGTGCTACTGTCAATGACGACGACGAGAGTGCGGTTGTTCCTCGCGGTTATGAGGAGCCACAACCGCCGGTTGCTGCTGGGAGGGAGCCAGTGGAGGAGCCGTTGCAGCGGGGAAAAGAACCTGCAGCGGCACAGGCGGCTGGAGAAGATGGTGCTTCCACCACAAGGATGGCTTCAATGCAGCAAACGACCATCAAGAGATGGGTCGACAACGCGGCGCAGAAGAAGTTGGATGTCGCGTGGGCGGAGGCAATGTTCAGAGTCGGAATTGCATTCCAATTCCTGGAGTTCGACACCACGCAGCAGCTGCACAGCGTGTACCTCGAGGTGGCGAACGCCAGACCGCAGGTGAAGTTGTCGTCTTCGAAGCACATTCGGACTGTAATGCTGGAGTTCATTTTCATGCGCATTCAAAAGCAAGTGGAGCCGTTGACAAAATGTTGGGATGTCACCGGCTGCACTTTCATCACGGACGGGTCTAACGATCGGAGGGAGCGGCCTGTCACGAACTTCTTAGCGGCGGGGGAGCAAGGAGTTGTTCTGGTGGCGACGGTGTACATGGACGGCAAGAAGAAGACAGGAGCGGCGTTGGCGAAACTGTGGGAGAAAATAACGAGGGAGATTGGGTTGCATCGCATCAACGCGATATGCACTGACAATGCGGAGGTCAACAAGAGAGCAGCTCAAATTTTGGAACGGCGCACGGACCCTGCAGTTGCAAGGATACCTTGGGTTCCCTGCGCTGCACATTGTTGCAGCTTGCTGCTAAGGGACATCAGCAAGTTGGACTGGGTGAAGGGCACGGTGAAGCGGGGCCACACCATCGTCAAATTCATCAGGAATCACCACACGACAAACAGTTTCATGATGAGCTTGGACTCATCCTTAACGCTGTTGCGACCGACCGAGGTCCGTTTCGGGTCGGTGTACCGGATGCTGGAGCGGATACACAACCGGAGGGCAGTTTTGAAGGACGTGGTGGACGCGACGAATGTGGGGAAATGGAAGGCGATGCGGTGGTCGAGCGCAAAGCTGCAGGCGAAAGCGGATCTCGTGTACTTCACACTGCGGAGGGATGCTTGGTGGACGGAGCTACGGAAGGTGGTGGAGATGATGGAGCCGTTGTATCTCCTTCTGCGGAGGATGGACAAGGACGGGACAGCACCGTCAAAACTTGTGGAGTACGACCGACTCATGGAGAGGATGCTGGCGGAGGTTGTGCTGACACCGGAGCAGCGAAGTTCGGTCTTGGAGAAGGTGAGGGACCGCATGAAGATGATGCGGCAACCAGTGCACGCGCTGGCTTTTCTTCTCGACCCGCTGAGGAGAGATTTGAAGTGGTTGCTGGATCGGGACAGCGCACTTGTGCAGAACGCGCTGCGTTATTTGCAGAGGCAAATTGGCGGACCTTGGAAGTCCCAGGCGCACAGGGATATAATGAAAGACCTGCGCGAGTTCCACAAGCAACCCACCGCATTCGACCCCAATCGGAAGGACAAGAAGATGTGGGAGCCGAATGCGGTCGAGGATGCTGATATTATCTCGTCGTCGGAGTGGTGGGCAACATATGGTGGCGATGTGCCGAAGTTGCAGGCCATCGCCATCAAAGTGATGG